CCCCCCCCCCCCCCCCTCCTCTTTACTGTAGATGTTTCGTTATACCAAAATTGGACACCCTCTTTTAGGACCCTGGCTAAAAGCCTGCACAGAAGGTCAACTCGAGTAACCGCTGCCACGCCATGATTCATCATCAAAATGCTGACGCCATGGTCCTAGCCAGTGCGCGTTTTAAAGGCATCCCCCCTGGACGTCCGCCATTTTGAATATTATCAGGGGGTTGAATGCCTCTCAAACACGCACTGGCTAGGACCATGGCGTCAGCATTTTGATGACGAATTACAGTTACGCCAAAATCATTGGAAAATCATAGGAAAAACCAAGAATTCAACCTTCTGTGTACCTTATTCTGTGTCACAGTCTGCATTTGCTGATGTGACTCAAATGACAAATGGGTTGCTTTGTCCCAGCCAGGCAAAGCAACCCTATCAAGAAATGAAACAGCCTTTAATACTATCTGTAATATTGTAAAAGACTGAAACTTTCTCTTACTGATAACATGTTAACTTATTCAACCTATAATATATGCACCAGACAGCATAAACGACTTACCAAAATTGAATATTTGTTCAAACATCAAGGTACCATAATTTTTATTTGAAGAATTGAAGTACGTAAGGTATGGCATCTTTGCACTATATTTACAAAATATATGGCTTCCTTTTGGTCAAGAGACCATTTATATATATATATTCATTTGCTCAAAATGTTATAAATTAAACAAATTAAACATCTTTTATGAATAACAAGAAATTGCCGCCATTATTTAATATTGACTGTGCCTATTCGCAGGTTCGATGCCTGAAGAGTTTAGCCTGCAAACAGGCAGCTTTGGCGAGCGGGGCTAATTTCACTTATATTTTTCGATAAAATAACAAGACAAAAGTTAAAGATAAATTATTTAACTCGTGTCAAATTAAAGTTAGCAACTATATATGATGAAATATTTATATAAGAAGCAAAAATCATTGAGAAAAAAAGTTTTGCAGTAAGCAAAAATTCAATGACCCCGACGAGAATTGAACTCGCAACCTTCTGATCTGGAGTCAGACGCGCTACCATTGCGCCACGGAGTCATATGAAATCAGTGCAACAAATTTATCTATTTAACGCACAGCCAGTAGCTCATTATGAATACAATCTCGCCCCTTGTACCTATATTTCGATCGATTTCATCAATATTGGTACTTTGTACTTTCCATAACTTTCCACCCTTTTTTATTTCTCCCTAATCCCTAGTTTCTTTCCTACTTTCTATCTTATTATTTATTAAGTTCTTTGTTCTTTCTTTTTTTCTTATTATTATTATTTATTCTTCTTTTCCTGTCGCTTTTTCATTCATTCTTTTCATTATAATTTATATCCTTTTCTTTCTCCCGTAATTATTCACCTCCATCCATTTTGATTTATTGAATCATTTTGTTTTCAAATTTAACGCTTTTCAGGCCCGGTCAGGAATTTCGGGTATATTGGTATCTAAACCATTTTACATTTGGAAAAACAGTATTGTATTGTTATATAGGGGTAAAGTAACCTAGATATACTATACTGATACAGTATATTTAGCAACCATTATGAGAACTTTGGTAACCTCCCCTGGTTAAAAGTTTTAGTAAACACCTAAAAGTTATTTTCATAATTCGTCACAACACCCTGGAATTTTCTAACTGACCACGGCTGTAATTGATTTTTAATTAAATTGACCAACACTTAACCTTGAACGATATTTAATAAGGCGGTAATCATAGCATATGCTATATTAATTAATCCACTTAATTATGTTACAGTAATTAGGAAGCAATGATAGGCATAGCACGTCTTATGTTTAGTTAATCCACTTATAAAGTTATAATGTTAAGTTTGAAAAAAGCATTTTCATAGAAAAAAACCTGTTAGGCCTTATAGGATTGGCTGATTAATAAAAGGTTTCTCTAGGATAGCCTATACTACTTTTCATGAGATAAAAATGTGGCATTGTGATTTGTGGGGGGAAAACAGAAAAAATATTGTCGTGGCGGAATATGAAACCACTGACATGAAACATGTATATATGTTGACAATGTTAATTGCACAAAATGTCCCACGAATCATGCACGATAGCGAATACACAAGGCTACATAACATACCGGCGACTTGTTAATTTAAAAGCCTATGAAGTGTTTTTAAAGTACTATAAACTACAGCACTAGTAGTGTGTTCAACGCCAATAGGTGCCAGAATGACTGGTGCTAAGTAGAAAAAGAAAGGAGATTATAATGTCAGAATTGACATGAAACCACTGTTATGAAACACGTATGTTGACAATATTGTACAAGACGTCCTGTGGATCACAGAAGAAAAGACGTTCATTTAATACTGATGTGAAGAGCAGACGAGTGATGAAAAACAAACTGAAACAAGCTAAGCAAACTACCATAGACTACTTGTTTATTAAATGCCCTTTCAAGTGTTTTTAAATGACTAAACTCTCGAACAGTCGGTGCCTGTGTAGGTAAAGACTAGAGACGACAACAGACAGCTGTGTTGTGAAGGATGAGTGAAAAACATGAACGAAACTTGGCAAGAAACATCGAAGATGTTCTGCTTATATTTATCAAGTAGTTGCATATCCTCTCTGGGTGTACATTAACGATAGTATTAGTGTGCAACAGAAACAGATTGGCTAGTCTTTAGCCAAGACTGGTTTACACTATCAAAGTTTCTAAGCATGATCACAGTACAGTCAGTAGGATTTGTAAGAAATGATTTGAAGGATTTGTAAGAAATGTTTGCAACTTTGCAGGAACTGACTCAGAGTTAAACTGACTGTTAACATTGTTAGATGATGTTAATTGCATGGACTCGTTTGAACAGGGCTTCCAGCAACTAGTGCAAAAGACAACCTAAACTCCAATCTGAGGAGGCAAAACTGATTGTATACTCTTCTCAGAAAACTGCACATTGCAGGAATGGAATCTCAGTTACAGAGAGTGAAGATATGTACTACCCACCGAATTAACATAATCAAACTAAACACTATCGGCACACTACAAAAATCGCCCTTGCCTCCAGACTTTGAAAGGGACTAACGGAACCATTCTCCCATCTGGAAAAGAACAATCATTGCATCACGAACATTTTCTGCAGTGTTCAGGCAACGATGAAAAATCACGAAAGATCAGATAGCAAGTGATGACAAAGTAATTATGGTCATTATGAACTTTTCACCTACAAAGATATTTTGCCTCGGGTATAAGGGAGCTGAACATTGAACATGATAGTAGGTACTATTATCATCATTTTAATATATTTCATCGTCTATATTCATTTCAATAAGCGGTATTCGCAGAGTGTCAAACACCGACCATTGACACTTCAAAAATGGGATGGAAAGGTCAAAACGTGTCGGACCAAAGGTTGGCGTCTGTCCATAAGGAAGACGAAATTTTACGTTGTTTAAGTGTTTACTTTACAATGTTTCCCATAATAAAACGTGTATATGTCGCCATAATCACGTAAACAATAATACAAGCATGTTATGCATGACCCTCACGACATGGTAATGTCTAAAAGGGCTGGACGAGAAGTAGTTTAAGATGATTCCAAAATTGAAATAAGAGTTTGCGTTAGTATTAGGGTTAGTGTTAGTGTTAGGATTAGGTGTGGGGTGAGGGTAAGGTTTAGTATTGTTGCAAGTGGCTGGTTGTTGATCCGTTTACGTTTTAATGATCTTAAAAACTGGCGGCCATCTTGAAAACCTGCCTCTAGTCCATCTCATTTAGCCAGGACCCTTACGACATTGTGTAAAAATTAAATAATGAAGAATTAATATCAGAAATTAAATAATGAAGAAATTAACATCATGATGTAGATGGTTATATTTCAATCCCATTACACAATCATGCTGGTCTGATCATGATTTCGTATTTAAGTTGTCGGTTGGTTGCATGCATGCAGAGTTGTAAAAAAGCTGAGGGTAAGCGGGTACCACACTCGTAAGGACGGTTTACCATATGTGAGGTCAGTGAGGAAGGTTTAATGTGGAGCACTCTACTCAACACGAACACCATATATAAAATAAATAAATGATACTTGATTGACTAGCCATGAGGATGAGGTTGGCAGGACGCTGATATTGTGCTGGTAACAATTGTGATAGTACCAATACCAGATGACTATCACATTGGAGAATATTAATACTGAGGAGAAAACAATAAAAATTGAAAATATTCAGTATAGGAAGCAGGAATAAGAAGCCGATTTCGAATGACATAATGTACATGTTTTGAGAAAGCCATAATTCACATTAATTTGAAAAAAAGTTGAAAACTTGAATTTTTACCCGGAGGAAAATTGGATACTTTTTGCAACCCTACTTGTATTGACTATGGTGGCGCCAAGCCAATAGGCGTTCTACTGACAGCCTTCGTGTCGAGCCGGTCAACGAAAAGGTGATAACAAGGAAAGGTGATAATACACACTAGCTTTGGTAAGAATGATACAACTGTCTGAAAAATATGAACAGAATTTCGACGTTTCGAGCGAAGGCCCTTCATGATGACGGACCACAACGAAATGGTCTTCACTTGAAATGCCAAAGTTCTGTTTATGTTTTTAGTCTAGTTGTATCCTCCTTCACATCGGCAGCTGCAGTCTGTCATCGTCGCTATACCTACACCGACCGTTCGAGATTTTATCACCGACCGTTCGAGATTTTATCGAAACAGTAACCCATTTAAACTTACGTCTTGAAGTAATATTTCAAATACGACTATGAGGACTGGACTAGATTTCAAGTCCGCTCAATTTGATCAAAATTGACTTGAAATCTAGTCCAGTCCGAATTGGAGGATTTGAAATAATATCTCATACGAATAAATCACCGTCCAAGGAATGAAGTAATATTGATCTAGTCCTAGGACTGGATCAATATACTTCACCAAGTATCCAGTATTACCATGTAAGCAAAATAAAGCAATATGGTTGGCTAATTTTGATGAATTTATTAATGAGTTTCAGATATAGGTTATTTTTCAATAGACCTTTCCCCTTATAACTAAAATTTTGATCTAGACAAGTCTAGAGTCATTTTGTATTACAAACGGGAAATTGATGCCCCAACACCCGATTGGGCTGTCAATTTCCCATGCGTAATACAAAATGACTGAAAAACGGCAAACTTCGCAAGGCTATATTATCCACATTTTACAACATTTACGGGAACCACCGAGTATTTTGATAAAATACAAAACAATAGTATCTATTGTTTTGTATTTTACAACATTTCGCAACGAAACTTTGGAATATGACTAATTTTGTGATGCTCTTTCAAGCTGTAATGAAATTTTGTCTAGATCAAAATTTTAGTTATAAGGGGAAAGGTGCATTTTGTTTTATACTTTATATATATACTGTACAATTATATATTCTAATAAGACAATGAATGATCCAGCCATTAAATCAGACCATCGTTCCGACAACTTCTTCACCGTTACCATCGCCACGAAAATTATACAATGATCGTTTTGCACGAGGTCGAACGCCTGACGGTACCCTTGACGACTTTGCATGACTTGCCACATGAAAACTGTTGCCATAACGACCAAATGTCAGTACGCGCAAGAATGAAACTTTGTAATCTTTAGAAAAAGTCCCATAAATTATTGGATTGGCAAAGCAGTTTAAATACGTACACATTGCGCATAGTAAGGATATCAAATCCTTGTGAGGGTATTGAGTATTGCTCCCGAAAACATCTACTAACCAGCGCACGTTGTTAGGTAACATTAAAAGCGCGAAAACGGTGACAACGACTGCAAACATTTTCATGACTCGTGTATTCTGCTCGCGACGTAGTGTTAAACTTCGCTGCCTGGTTGGACTCTTTGCGTGACTTCGGCGCCTTCGTAAGGTGTTTCTTTCGGATTGTTCCACGCTAGAATCCGTGCATTCTTCAAGTTTTATCAGGCTTAGCGTAGAGCGACGCAAGTAGTGCGCAGCGCAGCCATACACGAATGCTAATACGATGAATGGTATCAGATATTGTACATGAAAGATTATCAGAGTATATTGACGCGATGTGAAAATACTACCACTCCAATCTTCCTCGCATTCTCCATCAATTACCACACTTGCTACAGAAAACGGGAGAATAACAAGCAATGAGATGGAATGGATGAGCACGACGATACCCACTGATTGACATATTGTAAGTTTAATTACGAAGGGATGGCGAAGAGCTCTTGAACGATCGATGGATATAGCTACCAGAATCAGTGCTGAAGATGTAGTCATCATTGTCGCAACTGGCCAGATAATGCGACATACTACCGGACCATAAGGCCATGCGTGCGAGAGTTCAACTGAGATATCAAAAGGGATATTTAACAACGGTGACAGGAGATCACATAAAGCTAAATTAGCGACCAAGAAGTTCGACGCATTACGCAGTCGTTGTGTTTTTACTATTGCTTGGATAACGAGAACATTGCCGACCGTGTTTAGAATCAATAACATAACGTTCGCACATGTCATTCCCACAAAAACATTCCTAGATTCGGGCATCTTGCCGCTAAGTGCTTCGCTTCGTAATGGAAATTGTTTCAAGTGAAAACGATCCAAATTCTATTTCAAGTTAACCAATGATGTCCAACACGCAGACGTGAGCTAGGCGTTCGCACTTCAACGCAACTGAATGTAAACAGTTTTTGTTTGCATGGTCTTTGCGCTCCCGTTGAAATCTCGTCCAAACTGTTCTCCAAGTTAACTTTTGCGGTCCAACACGTATCATGTAGACGTTTAACAATGACAATGTTTAGCCGTGACTGACCAGGCTTTCGTATTCGTTCACTTTACGCAGTCTCGTTCAAAAGGTGAACCCAAATTGTTTCCCAATCTACGAAAGGTGATCTAACACGTGCCGGAGACGATAGGAAAAACGGTGTTGACTCACGAACTCCCGCTGAAAGTTCAACGGGCCGGACAATAATGCAAATTGTTTTCCAAGTTAAATAACGAGGTCGGACATATATCATGCAGTTTCAGAGTTTAACTGACAACCAGTCCGTTGAATCGTGAAATAGGCGTTCGTATATATAAACACGCAGGTGAACGTAGATCTATATAGCCACACAGTTTGTGCCGATAGCTTATACTTTGTGCTCTCCAGACACGATAAGTGCGTGCGAAGCGTGGGTATTGCAATTTTTAAACATTTATCTTTAATTAATTTAGCGATTGTAAACACGTAAATTGACATAAAGCTGCTGACAGTGAAGTTGCTTTGAAAAATAATCACCGAATGCATTGACAATACCACAAAAACATGTCTTACAAATTTCATACAATACTCAATGCTTCCTCTTGCATAAAATATTAAATACTGCAACGTTTTTCCGACAGGAAGTTGTAAAAACAGTGCAATCAAAAACGCGTAGATTGTTATCGAAAAATAGAAGTTTGGCTCAGCGTCATGAAAAGTTACAGATGTAGTAAAACATGAGACATAAATGCATTCTGCGAAATCCGGCACGATACACGATTTTTGAAAATAAAACGTTCACCTGTTAATTATATATAGTCATGGATGCTGCAATTTGAATATCGCATAACGTCCAAAAAGGCAAGGCGCATCTGCCTGCATGGTTGCCGTTCTCAGAGACGTTTTTTACTTATGTTTACGAAGAGAAAATGTTAATGAAATGTTAGTATTTAATGATTAAATGAATTAATTTACAACACTGGTGTGTTTACTTAAGGCTGCACTGTAAATTTGAATTTCGTCATTGTATGTATACAAACGAGTCTGATAACTACAACACATAAGGCGTAATATATTTATGACTACACCACAAATCAAAACACCTTAAAAGGTGCGCAAATATTTCAGTTATAGAAGGTTCGCAATTCATGAATTAAAAATTAGGAATTGCGCCAAAAATCCTAAATGTTCGCACGCGGTGTTTGATATTGTGTCCACATCCTTGCAACATTAATGAAATATTCATGCAATATTATACATATATCTCACAACTCATGCATCTAACAACAGGAATATATCTTGATATTATTTCTGAAAGATGTTGGACTGTGAATTATACATATTACATTTATATTTTTAGTTCATAGAATATATCGTGCACCCACACAACATTGTAACAATTTTATGTGAAAACAACCAATTTAATTTCCGCATACTTTAGTCAATTTTTTATTGGTGAACAAACGACATTTCGTACTTTCGAGATGATTGAAATTTATCGGGGAAAAAATATGGCGTAAATATTAGCAGAACGCCAATTCATCTTGAATTGATCATCTTTTAACATTGAGAATTGTGGACGGAAAGTCATAATTCTGAACCCAGGCAGGGTGTTAGCTACAGTAAAAAATTCCTCGTTAAACGCGGTTTTCCCAATTATCTTGAGGTCGCAATTTCCGGCCAATTTGGGTCAGCCAAAAAATAGTTATAGAAATTCAATGTTGTTAATACGCCATTAAAAACATGTTATAACATATTATTGGCTCAAAATCACTCCCAAAATGCGGAAAATGCAATTGCAAAGACACAAAAATTTTAAAAATCAAGAGGGGGCAACCGCATGCCCCCAGACCCACAAAGAAATGCCCAGCTTCAGGCTAAAATAAATTTCCCAATTTCAGGTAAACGCGGATTTTTTTTACTTCTGGCTAACACCCTCCCAGGAGTGCATATACGGTTTATTTTCCTTTACAGTAACAACTCTTAAGGATCGAATAAAACGTGAAGAATCACACATTTCGAGGCAGGAGAGCCGGAAGAAACGTGAAGCGGCGGTTTGCCGCTGCACGCGAATACTGGATCACTTGTAGCCAATATATAGTTGGACACTGATTTCGGCACTGATTGGAACAATTTCGTTCGTTGCCTGACGCTAAGACTAAAATATGTATTGTAAAACAACATTACAGCTTCTCAATTCTTTACATTCGTCTGTCTGTCTATTTTGCAAAGGTGGAAACCTCGGTAACGTTTGTGCGTGAAAGGAATTTCACATTCAAATTTCGGCGAAAAAACTTGAAAACAGCCCCCCCCCCCTTTCTTGTAAAAAGGCAATCAGCTGCCCCCGTGCTGTTTGTGGAACGGCGCGGAAATGCGCGGCTGCCCCCGCAGCTCCGCGGCGCTCTAGCTGTTTCGAGGTCTTCCAAGCACTTGTTGTTCGTGACCACTGTGTTGTTGCGCTGTGTTATTGCGGAACATTCTCTATACTTGATAACCTGGTCGAAAGGAAGGGTGCCTAATTGCTTCTTTAAGAACCGTGAGAAATCTGAAGGCCCTTAAAATCTGTCTACGCGAGTTTTTCTATAAGAGTCTAAGACGGCAAAAAAATATATGAAGAGAGATCCAACATGCATGCCTGCATTCCCCTTCTCAAATTGCGCGCGGTAAAGGCCATGATGATGAAGCCTGAATAGCTTGCTTGTTTATTTTTCTAAGCAATTATAAGCACACTATCATTGAGACGTGGCGGTATATTGAGACGCGGCCGATTATTGAATATTACCATTATTGGAAAAGCGAACTTGAGATCCATAAGTGCTGCCGTACGAAATAACATGAATTCAATTTTTCACAACGAGTCAAGTGTCTAATCGCGTTATCAAAACACGAGAAAGCAATTTATCTCAAGGAGCGAAGCGCCGAATTTTGTTGATATAGGAAACTTGTTTTTAGACTCCAAAGGAAGTTGTATCAATTTCCCACGCACTGCAGTAATGCCAGTATCTATTGCAATAGAATGTACTACTTTTTGCACTTTTGCCCCAACGCAATGGCGTTGCACTGCAGTAATGCCAGTATCTATATCAATAGAATGTACTACTTTTTGCACTTTTGCCCCAACGCAATGGCGTTGCACTCGTGCCCAATATATAGGGTTAAGGATAGCTGGATAGGCCTGTGATTGTGCTCAAGCCGGGAACAGTCTGCCTGTGGAACTCCAGAATATACGTCAAATTAAAACATTTAAAACCAAAACTATAAAAGAAACATTTATCTACATAGGACACTCTACTGAACTGTAAGGATGCGCTAGAACATACCATATAACCTTTCACATTTGTTAGTTTTATTTTTTTTTTAACAGGGTTCCACTGAAAATCACTTTTGTGAATGGACCCCCTGACTAAATATTGTAATTATTCATGTATGCATTCCATGCTATGAAAAAAGTATAAAACGTGATCAAACATTCAGATACGATGATTAATGCGCCGCTAAACCAAAATACTAAGATTTTTGATAGAAGAAATGTAATTTCAAACATCAATATGACAATAGCGCAGTCAATATCGTATGTAAATTCAAGTGCTATATATATCAAAATCTAAGTTAGTCATTTCTGAATGCACGGATCTTTATTTCATATATTGCGATATAGTCGAGCTCTTTCTCAATTCGTTTGCATATATATGGACCGAACTGATTAAGTTATTTAATATGGCTAAAAATAAGAGCATTCTTCGAAAAACAATATTTATAAATTAACTTGATTACAATATTATTTGAACATGCATTTAAAAACGCAGGATGTTAAATTCTGTGAGCAATTTCTTACAAAGATATAATTAACGATAACAACATATATTTTTAAATATTAAAATATTAAAAGTCGAAAACAGAGCAGTTTTGTAGTCCAGTTTTGTGGTTTCACTTTAGTTGGCCAAAAAATCATTCAATGGACAATGGCGGCAACTGATTAAGTGTCACTCTGTCAGCATTTTATGCGTTATAAAAAGCCTTTTTATACATGTAACTGAACAACGTTTTAATACATGGCAGAGTGGAAGAGTAAGCTATTTGTCATTTGACTGTTAATAACTAAAGTCACACACATATATAGTAGTCTTCTTTACTGGGAAAAAAGTTGTATATTTATGGGTTTTTTCGCAATAAGGCTCCATCTTATATAGCGGTCCATACACTACGATGAGATCAGTGAACGGTTCGTACTGGAGGTTAGCGACCACCCAATCAAAATCATGCATTTTGCCGATGAATCGCCTTGGCATATAATAAATCTTCTTAGGAAATTTACTTTTTCATTGTAGAACTTGGGGGATATTTAATTTAATTTTTAATTTTTTTAGTTTCAGTTGGCGGATATTTCGCCATGAGATGATTTGTTTTTTAACATGTGAAGAAGTTGATCAGTTGACAGTGAAGAAGTTGATCAAGATGAGGGTTTTTTTACTATAAATTATGTCTATAAGGTCTTAAAGATATATTACATTTTCTCTCAGAAACACCCACAAATTACAAATACCAAAAATCATATTTATGGTTAGTATAGGAATGCAATTGTATATACTTCTCAAACTGAAAGCATTGAATTCAACCCTCAACGCAAGTCAAATTAGCTCAGCCAATAACAAGTGTGACGCTAGCTAGTTAAACGCGATTAACAAATATGATTGTTTTGATATGGGATGAAAATTTTGAACAAAGTTCATACAAACCCGATATGTTCAAGTCTTTACGTCAGCCAAAAAATGCAACAATCCTAATTAAATATAGTTAAACCTCT